AACAAGAAGCTACTAGGGGCTCCTGGCCTTACTACTAGGAACAAGAACTCCTGGCCTTACTACTAGGAACAAGAAGCTACTAGGGGCTCCTGGCCTTATTACTAGGAACAAGAAGCTAGTAGGGGCTCACATTTTCGAGCACAGAGAGGTAGAGTTGTGGCAAGTCCTGTAGGACGGTGGCAGAGGACTCACTGGTACAACTCTGAGACTGTAGATCCCTCGAAAGCGGACACATGTGCCACTGGTTAAAGGATTGCCTGTTCTCTTCCGGTGTCCCTCTGAGAGAACTCTACATTGGTTGAGCAACTCCCGACGAAGATGCAGGTTCGAAAACATGATATTCCGTATCGAGATGTATCGAGTGGAGTTCGTGGTCCGCAAGAATCTCGAGCTGTTGGCTCTGGTCGGTAGTTAGTCAATTTGCTCTTTGATATGTTGCTTTCAAGGTAGAGAATCCAGGAATGGAATCAATCTTCTTGAGTGAAAGCGCCTACATTTCTCCACCGGGTTCGGCGAACTAGACTTTGTTTTCTTAGCACCATCAGTTGGGATCTCCAGCTACCCAAAAACAACAAGAAAGCTTTCTCTCAGTCTTTGAAGCTTCTTAGTTAACAATAAAGCTTCCTAGTAACGACCAAAGCTTCCTGGGGAATCGGTTTCACCTAGTGTACAATCGTTTCACCTGTAGTGTATATACAGTATATATATATATATACACAAAAAGTTTTTTTTTGCGTATGTCTTTCGTTGGTCTCCCTTGGTGATGCTTCGAAACGCATCGCCCGCAGCCGCCAGCGGGTGCCTTCAGCCGCATCGCCCAGCTAGCGGACCTGAAACGCCGCCGCGCGCGGGCGCCCGGGAGCCCCTGGGCCGGATGGAATGGCCCGCATTCCGCATTTTTGGAGCTTTAGGGGCGGTTCTTGCCGACATGGAAAGTGAGCTGGCTACTGATCTGGCCGCCTGAAATCAAGGATGAGTGAGCCAAAGCAGCTCCAATCACTCTTAGCTCAGCAATCGTTGCCCTTACACTCCCGTCAATCTAGTCTGTTTTGATTGGTTTTGGTTCTTCTGATCTCTTGTTGTTCTTAGACAGAGACCCCCAAAGAAGATACACCTGTGGACCTCTGGAGTTCTGAGTTCAGCAGTGGGTAACCAAATTGATGTTGAAACCGCCTCCCAATGTTAGAATTTTGCTGAGCTCCGTATGGTGGTGAAGATAGGAAGGCATGTGTACAAACGCCACAGCTCTGAAACAGGTTGCTCCCGTCAGCAGCAGCTGGACCTACAGTCCACACAAAACTCTTGGCTGCATCTACGAAATTAAGCGGTAGGTTGTTCTTGAGGGAATTGCTTAAAAAGGCATTATGTCATTGGCATAAGGGTGCCAAGACTTCCGTTTGATAAACAAGCCCCCAGGTTGATCCGACCTCAACAACTCCCCGCGATCAGTGGTGCGCCATGTCGTTGCACATGGGCGGCCGTATGGGGGATGCCAGCTCGGAGCCAGTGCCTGACATGCGGATCCTGAAGCGGAAGGTGGCCCTGGCTGGGTGGCCGGGCGGGCTGGGTGACGAGAGCGCAGACCATCCGATCTCGAGACCTCCTCGGAACAACAGTTCAAGTGGACTTCTTACGACTTGATTGCTACCTAAGGTTGAAAAAGGGAACTTGGGGTCCTAAGTAGTGCATCCCTTGGAATTCTCAGATGGTGCAGCAAAGACTAGTAGCTTTTAGCCTATTCATCAGGTCCTACAGCTGGAGGGGCTTTGGTATGACTCACACGATTGGACGTTACTGGGGTGAGTCTTGACATGAGTCGAATACTATTGAAGATAATTTAAGCTTGCAGCTTGCAGGTATAGATTCAATCAAGTCCTCCGCTTCTTGTAACCCTTCCCACTTCAGGTTACCATTCAGTCACCGGCGATGTGCCCCTATGCACATGCATGTTCATTGGCACGTTGCCCCTTCCAGCATGGCCGGACGATCTTAGCTCCGACCATGCGGCTGCCACGGTTGCAGTACCAACGCTGCGCGAATGACGATTGCCATGCTCGGTGTGCCAAGCCTGGGGAATTCTGTGGCTGAACTGTCCAATGGCAGACTTTGTGGAACTAGCTGGTTGCTTTTGTGAGGACTCAGCATAGTTTCAAGACGCCATTAAAGACAGTTGCCATTTGAGCTGGAGGTTTCCTTGCTCAAATAGTGAATCCGCAAGCAGGATCAAGACTTAGTGTAGTTGTTTCTATCAATCAGTTCTTCCAACTTTTTCCCGTTTCTTCCAACTTCCACTCTGCAAGGCTGCAATCCTTGCGAGGCTGAATACACTGGTGGAGATGTGCGTCGTCTCATCAAGGTGTGCCCTGCCCATTCAGGGCCCTGCAAGGGCACAGCCGGGCGGCATTGCCAGGACTGGTTCGGGGAAGGGCGAGGTGGGCCCCCAGCGCGGGAGGCTTTCGCACATTTAAAATCATTTTAGATACGTATTAGACATATGCACGGCCAGTACAGTGGGACTTGGGACTTCGTTGTCCATTTCAGAACATGGCTTTCATTGAAGGGACAGATCCCTTCAGGTGGGTTGAAGCTGTGCCAGGACTGTCCGGGCGAGGAGGCTCCGAGTCCGAGCGTGTCCTGCGGCGCTGCGGTGACGCATCGGACGAAGAGAGAAAAGAGGACGAAGGGCCGAGACCGGAGAGAAGGCCATCGGTGGTTCGGTCTGGGGGGGGCTGTTTTTGGTTAAGGCAAGCTTTGGACTTCAGGGCTCCATGGTATATTATACACACATATGTATATATTGAGATCTGCCCTTGTGGAAGCCTTTTTTTCTTATTCTTCTTCATGAGGTCACCTTGGAGTTTATGGATCAGCTCCTCTCTTAGAATTGATCTTGCTGCTAGCAGACTGAACCCATCGGTGTAAACAATGGATTCTTGATTGTCCTGGCTTCTCGGTAGGAATCAGGTCGAGAAGCCAAGCTTGATCATCCGATGGGCCCAGGTTGGGTCAGCAGGGTCCATGGTTTACTGTAGACTGTTGATGAATAACCCCCCATTTGGATGCACGGACTTGCGGACGGTCTGTCTCGACTCGCGCGCCCCCATTTGGATTCTAACATCTCTTCATATGGGGGGTTTGATTTATCAAGAGTCTACATTAGCTCCTAAACGTTTTGAGTTGAGTCCTGAATGAAGCGAACGCCACTTACTGGGAAAAGACACCTTGCAGATCGCAGTGCATCACAGCGTCGACCCAATGTTGCTTGATTTTGCCCAAACTTTCAATGATGGGCGGTATCAGTAGCAAGAAGCTACTAGGTGGAGGCCATCGCTATTGGGTTGGAGGCCATGACTACTAGTAGAAAGAAGCTACGAACGTAACAAGGGCATGGCTGTTAGGTTGCAAGAGGTGAATCTAATGGGTCGATCCTCATTCATCGCGCAAACACATCGTCTCCTTCGCCTCTGACCGGCACGTCGCACGTCGACCGGTCCGAGGTCTGGTCGATGGTGTGCAGGATCCGAAGGAAGACACCGCGCCGGGTCCACGCTTTCTTGGTCCGCGATGCGCGGGGTTTCCGGGAGGTTTAGGAAAGAATGCACGGCTTTGACTGCACCGGCGCTTCGCACGGTCTCCGGCACATGCCTAACAAAGCTCATCAAAGCTCATCAAAGGCACTCTCCATTTGGGGTGACCAAGTGACTTCGTGGCTCGTGGATCCTTCCAGTTCCAAATAGAAACACGGCAGATCTCCGTTTTGGACGCCGATTCCCGGGACGCTCCAAGACGCCGAAGTCTCCGTCGGCGCGGAGGATCCTTTGGGGCGGTCACAGGCGCAGAGTGTGGAGTCGGACGAGACGGTGGAGTACGGTGGAGTAGGGTGGATCGGGAGCTGAGAAAAAGAGACCCAGATCCCAAGTGCGCAAAAGACCTAGGGAGCTCTTTATGGATCCAAGGTTCTTTGCTGGGAGCTCTTAAGACCTTGGATCCGAAATATCATACTGATTGACCATCCCAAACCCCCTCCCAAAGAGTGCAACTGGGGTACTGCAAGTGGAGCTCTTCGTGGGGTGAAGGCAGGCTTCTTGCTCTGGCTGTGCAAGTGTTCGACCACATCACGGAGCGCCAGATCAGATATATAACTATATAATCCCCAATTCCAGGTTGACAGTATCTAGATGTATCTGAAGTCGGCCGTCCATGTATCTTCATGTATCTGAAGATGTGAGTGGATGTTTGAGCGAACAACGACCCCCAGATCTCGCCAGTTCTGGAACTCCCGCTGGACGGACCTGAATTGTTTCCCTGCCGTGGAACTGCTGCTACAGAACATGAAATAAGTACAGTGCATACTGTAGTGTTTCTGTTTTCTAGTCGAGATGTCTGCGTGTTTTGGGGTCTTATCCGGAACTTAGCAGGTCTTTCGCGTCAAATTCATCTGACGAAACCCTGCCGAAACTGTCCAGGTGGACCCCTTCGGAACTGGAAATTCTGGTGGACGAGGCGAGATCATGTGGGAGAGGGACACACACGGATGCTGTTCCATGGAAGACATCTTGAAACTTGGCTTGGAAGGGTCAGGTCGGTCCAGTGTATAAATAGAACATACGCTCCTGGAACTGACATGAAAGTAGATGGCATGGCCCCTTGAAAGACAATTTTCCTCTACAAAGAGGGGGTTTACCACCTCCATGTTAGTTCCAGGGAGAGTAATAGAACAACCCACTCTTCTTTCTTTGGACAGATCTCCCCGTGTCGTTCACTGGCCGCTTAGGGACGCTGAAAGCAAAGGAAGCTATTCAGGCTTACAGTCAATCGCAGCTCCGAGCAAAAGCCAGGACCATTTCGGGCAATGGAGTGTGAACACCCCTAAGATCCAGCCGCTCTATGAACAATTGTTGTGGAAAGGGACAGGTGGGCTGGTTTGCATCAATCATGAAACCGGTGGCCTCTTCTTTCTGTTTGGAACTCGGAAAAGGCGGGCTTTTCCGAACCCGCATGCTTCGAGGCTTCCACCTCACTGAAGCCAAGGCCGCAGCAAGTTTACGTTCCGGGTCCACGGGCGCGGGGATGTTCCAGGTTTCGAGGGCCTCGAAAAGACAAGGCCGGAAGATACTCTGCCAGCACTATGGAATGACATAGTGGACCAAAAACATCTAAAGCATAATTAATGACATAATGACGTTTTAACCAATGCCTCCTCTACATCCGTTAACCAAAACAGAATGTTTCCACTTCTGACCACTCTATCAGCCCTTCGCGTATGTCTCACAAACCGCTTTGCCTTCAGCTTCAACGTCGCTCGCCTGAGTTGGAAGCAGATCTCGCTCCTGCTGAATGTGTGGCATCCCAATTTGATGATGTACACAAAAAATGGATGCACAGTGCGGACCGTACGTCATGTTTGCGAGTTTTGCACCCCACCAGCTGGCTGTAGTGTCGTGCCCATGGATTCGGTGGACGTCATGCACATTTGCCAGCTTTGACTGAGAGACATCTTGACTTGGCTATTTTTTCTGGGTGCTTCAGCTTTTGGAAGACCATTTAGAGGGTGATAGGTGAAGCATTCTCTCGGATGGTTCCTATGATTTCGTTTTTGGGTCTTAGATAGTTGCTTGGCAGTGAAGGGCTATGGGTGGACCACCTGGACCACCTCCAATGACTGAAGCTGCCGTGACAAGCTCCGCCCGAGGTCCATCCTCTGACCTGCCGTGACAAGTATCGTGACCTCTGTGCTGGGAAGAGGACCGAACTCCAGTCGTGGCTGGGGACACACACACACACACACTGTGCATATGCAGGGACTTGTCCAACACGCGCACAAAGAAGGGGACACACCAAAAGGAGGGTTGAGTTACGTTCTCCAGGTCTCTCTTTTTTGAGTTGCTTGGCCTACCGGGGTCGGTTTTCTGATGTCGATTGAAAACGGCCGCCAGGAAGAAGGGTCCTTTCTCAGAGCAGGAGGACCAACCCGAGCCGAGTTACAGAGTGCTCTGCGAAGAACCGCGGTGCTCGGTATGGGTTTGATCAGACACCTCATCTTGGCATTGTCTATGGGCCTTTCCAGTGAACTCTGACGGTCTTTGGGAATATGATATTTATGACTTTAACAACGGTTCCTGTGGCAGGTGTGGAATGTGGTCCAAGAATGATGGACTGCGCCGTGAGGACTGGCGGCTTCGGATGGCCATTTGCGAGACCACCAACAGTCTGGATCCCAGCGAACAGAAGGAACAGTCAACTGTGAAGAGTTTGTTGGGTGGACTGGGCGACTCAACCCTCTAATTTCAAGAGTCACAAAAATACCTGCAGATTCCACCAGGTGGTTGGAAGGGACCTTCCAAGGGCACCAAGTGGTTTGCGGCACCGAAGGTGGAACGAGGTGAAGGTCGGTTGGGTCTCCATTTCCCAACCAACAGACACATGGAGCCCTGGTCACCAGGGCAGGTTATATAAGGCTGCCAGGTCATCTATGCATGTCTATTCTGTTCACACGCAGACAATCCGGTCGAGTAGGAAAGTCGCATCCACGACTCACAGATCAGTGAATGCACAACGGAGCCAAATTAAAGAGAGCTACAGAAAGCGTTCGACAGGGAACGACCAAGAATCAGCCGAGCGGCCGGCCCCACCGGCCAACACACGGCAGAATTTGAAAAGTTCGCCAGGGGCGAAAAAAGGGAGAGCACCAACAAGTGCACCCTGAGGCAACACTTTGCCAATGCATTTCGTTGCCCTGGCTGTTGGTGTCCCAGGAAGTGCATTGTGCGTCTTTGAGAGCACAACACAGCATCTACGCAACTTAAGGACAAGTTCTTGAAAGTGTGCTTCACGGCATCTAAAATGATGTCCTCGAATGACAAACAGAAAGGCCAATTCCTGATAAGTGCACATCACATGGTCAGCGAGAAACCACTTAAGCGTCTTTCCAAAATTGACAAAGACTTGCCAATCAGAAGCAGAGAGATCTAGCTTGGGAGGGCAGCTTGAATCCTCCGGCTTCCATGAAAAAGAAAAATCAGCTTCATTGTGGTTCCACGCAAGACCCGGGTAGATCGTGTGGAAGTCAATCTCCGAGACAGCACTTTGTCGCATGGGCGTGTCTGTAAATGTATCAGAACACTCAAAGCCAATAAAGCGGTCCAAGTCCGTAAGGGTGCGTTGCTTCTGAAGTATTGCTGCTTGAAACATACCCTTGTCTTCAGCCGCAATAGTACACCGGGAGTGGGCAAACCTCTTAGCAACTGCATCTGCAAGCCGATTCAGTTCGATGTGCTTTCGTGTTGTGCCTGCTGCACGGATCACAGCAGCAGGTATCGCTGAAACAGGTAGATCATCACCAACATGCGAAGGAATCCACGTCAAGAGCAAAACAGGTCCACTAGTCAGCAGACTCCTGGCAACTATGACTTTGTGCAACACCTTCCACCATTCAATGTGCAGGCAGTTCGTGGGGATATTGCCAGTTTGAACCATATGGTTAACTTGACAAACAACTTCCTTGCAGTCGCTGTAAATATGAAGTTTGCAGTCGGACTTCAAGGTAGCAACTATGACTGCCCACAGTTCTGCAGTATAGGAAGAAAGGCACAGGTGAGAAACTGTTCCAGCATGAAACACCTTCCCCTCCTCGTCAATGATGGCATAACCTGCTGCCGTAAGTGGGAAGACCTCACCCCAAAGCACGGAGCCATCAGACCACAGGGATTGCAAATCATCAGGTCTATGAAAGATCTGAACTGGGAGTGCATCAGCACGGTCAACGTGGAGCCGATGTCGGATGATAGCAAAAGGGTGTTCCACAATGCCAAGTAGTCGAAAATTCGGCCCAAACTCATGACCCGGACCTGGAGGAAATTGCAGCCTTGCTTGAGGACATTGCAAAATGTGCACAAGTGATTCTTTTTCAGTTTCACAAAAACGGCACAGCGGGGAATCCGAAAACTTGGCAGCAAATCTACGATCGTTGGTGATCGTACACCCAACAAGTTGTGCTTCAAAGTGAGCAAGCAACGGGGGTGAAACCGAATCGCGAACTCCTTTCTGGGTCCCAAAGAGCTTGGAATGAAAAAGGTCTACAAATCCATCCGGTTTGGCAAAATCCTTACGATTAAGGCTGGCTGAGTGAACATAGTGTGCCTGAACTGCAAGCTGTTTCAACAACGGCACAATGTCACGAACTGAAAGATCTTGTAAGTTGAGATCAAGGTGACCAAAGAGGTGCAAATGGAGCTGATCATCAATGGTGATACCAAATGCATGGCATGCCTGGCGAATGCCTACAAGGAGGGAAAACCTGCCCGAGTTAGGCTGGTGGGCAAACCGACGGCATCTAGCTATAACGTCGGGATTGTGGTGGACAAAGCGCAGAAAATCAACAATGGCACAGAAGGCCCTAGCCAAGTACGGATCAACACGGTGTGGCGGTGCAAGAAAGCCAAGGACCAAGTGTTTAGCCCTCCAGTGAGGTCGATTGCCCCACAAGACTTGGGTGATTTCAGCTTGAATTTTGTCAAGGGCAGCTTTAGGGACCTTAGACAAGTGTGAGGCAAAGCTGCATTGAGGAATGACTTTAGCTCCAAGGAGTTGTGCCTTGATTTTGCGAGGTAACGGGAGGGCCCCAATGTTACGAATGTCAAGGACGATTTTATGGGTCTTCTCCTCAGGAAAGTCAAAAGCGATGCGCTGAGAAGTATAGATTTTAGAACCAAGCACATCAATAGTTTCCTGAAGTATAAAATCAGGGAAAGACAAACGAATGCATTTCCGACCCGTCGAATTCGAAGCCCAAGCAACCGATTTACCAGCATTGAGTTTTTGACCATCAAGGGCATCCCAAAGCTTGGTGACTTCAAGTGCCGTTTGAAGGTTGGCGACATGTTGGATTTTCGCCCACAAATAAATGTCATCAATGTAAATGCGACATGACAAATGGGGGATGTCCTTCAGGAAAGCAACCCACGAGAGCATGTAGGCATTAATAGCAATCAGCGAAAAGGAGCAACCCTGTGCAACCCCATTTGGTGAAGTGGTAGGAATGGAGGCCGTCCAACCTCTATAAGACAAGTGTTTGCGCAGCCCTGCATATTGGCGAACAAAAATGCTGACCACATGCTGAGGACAACCAATGGCAACGAAAGCGGGGACAATACGATCAAAACACTTACTTTTATCGAGTTTAAGACCAGCAACCGTTTCACTTTGCATCTCAGCTTCATCAAGATCAAGTCTCAGGGTGGCGGGAATATCCGTCATATGCCGGCCCGCTATGCCACCCACAATAGAAGGCGGCATGATAGTTGCTTGCCACTCCTTGGCTTGACGAAAGCGAGCGCCCGTGTATGCTAGTAAAAGAGGCGGCAAGATAGTAATCAGCCGCTTGTTCAGGGGGGAGGATGGCCCTGGCTTATTGAGAATAACTAACTTGGCCTCAGTCAAGGCTCTTGGGAGCGAATGGTCAACCTGCTGTTCGAGGCGGCGAAAGAAGGCAGCAATCAAATCACACAGAGCAAGAGGGAGTCGTTGCAGTTCAGTGGTCCGCCATCCATCAAGCCCAGGCGCTGCATTGGGGTGGCGCCTCTGAAGGGTCTCAAAGATATCGGCCCCTGTGAGGGCTGGCGGAGTCCATGGCTTATTCTCACGCGAGAGGTACGGCCAAAGGACCCGCAAGACTTCAACTGGGTCTTCGTGACCAATATTAGAAGCAAAAATGTCATCCCATTGGTTGTTGATAGCATTGAGGGCTTTATCAGGCTGGTAAATGATATGCCCACAATCATCAATAACAAGGTTGTTGGGTTGATCTTGCGCCTTATTCTTGAGGTGATGGAAAAGGTAGGCACGGTCAGAAGTGGCTGAGTGTTGAATTTTCTCCCGCCATGCACGGATTCTGGCTGACTTCAAATTGCTCTCTGTTTGTGCGATCTCAACTTGAAGCCAAAGGTGGCACTCATGCAAAGTCAACAAGTGAGGGCAGCGAGAGCCTCGAAAGTCAAAGGGGGCTTTGAGGTTCCGCAAAAGTCTAGTCAACTTGGCAAGGGCATTATGCAGAATATCACACTCTTGATCTGAAAGCCTACTCTTGGCAACCTTAGCTTGGATGTCAAAAACCTTGGCACGAGCATTATAAAGCCAGGAAAGGCGCAGAGTAGTGGCCGATCCTGAATTTTGTTGCCCTGGGCAGTATTGCTTGGATCTAAAAACAGGAGCAACAGCGCGTTTGTGAATACCGGGTTTCCAAGTCGCACCAGACTCAAGAAGTGTAGTCACAGCAAATTTGTTGATGTCACACCAAAGCTCTTCCGGAGTGGAATTGATGAAGTTGGCTTCAAGGTTCGCATCCCAACACTGCAAGGAGGGCTGGTAATCTTTGGGGCAGGACGGTTTATCAACTTGGGAAACATCAAGCTGGGCGAACTTAACATGAACAGGCCCAACATGAAAAATGACATCCCAATGAAAGGTCGCGCGAACCGGACGATGTTGCTTGGAGAACCAGTCGACCGTGCAAATGTCCGTCAGACAAGAGAACGCAACTTGGTTCAAAAGCATCCCATCGATAGAGGAACAATGCTCACCAAAGGCAGTGAAGGTGCAATCGCGACTATATGTAATCGGCCTATCGAGGGAACCGTCTTCAAGGTGGGTAGAAAGTGGATCAAACCAATTAGCAAAATGCGTGGCAGCAGCGACTGACAGATATTGGAGGGGTGGGAGCTGGAAATCGCCAACCACCAAAACCGGGATATTGCCAAATTGGGCTGCAACCTGGAAAACGTCACCAAGAAGACGATCATTGAAATGCAGGATATCATGATCAGCAGAAGCACCAGACTTAGCGTAGATGTTAAAGATCAAGATCTTCAACGAGGGCTGAACTTGGTGCCAAACAGCTTGGACCCGCTTAGAATGAAAGAGGCCTTTGAAAAGCCCTGTAGTGTCCTGACTCTCCTCAAAAGGGGAGGAGATAGTACTGGGTGCAAGCATGGCAACACCACCATGGGAGGTAGAGCCGCTACCATCAGACCTAAACAAACCCGGAAGCAGGTCCCCAAGGATCAGGTTCTTACCAGCAGCACACGCCGACTTGGAGGCATTCCGAAAATTGTTGCGACCTATACGAGTTTCCTGAAGGCACACCACACTGTTGTTCCAGCCCTTCCAGGTGTCATCTTTAAAGAAGCTCCCAATGTTGGAGGAAAGAATGGA